ACTATAAAATATTTAATTGGAATTGCTCCATCAGGACTTATAACTTTTCTTTCTAGTGGGTATGGTGGAAGAAGTACAGATTTGCATTCGTTACAGATTTGTTTATAACAAATGACTGTTATAAACGAATCTGTAACGAATGCAAAAACTGGAGAAGGGAGATATTGTTATAGCTGATAGAGGGTTTCCTCAAATTAAATTGGTTGTCGAAAATAAAAATTTTATTTTAATTATGCCTCCTTTTTCTAAACCAAATCAAAAGCAGTTTAGTGGTAATGAAATGGACGAAACATACAAAATTGCTCGTGTAAGAATTCACGTTGAGAGAGCCATTGGTAGAATTAAAATTTTTGAAATATTGAACTGTAGATTACCCATTTCACTTCTTCCATATGTAGATAAAATAATGTTTGTTTGTGTAGTATTAGTAAATCTGCAGCCACCAATTATAAACGAATGAAATTTTTTTATTGTGAAAACACTATAAAACTTAATACTATTTACACTTAATACTTAAATACTATTTACAATTGCAGGTAAATAATAATTAAAGTAGAACATTTCCATCTTCTCTAATAGTGAATAAATGAATGTCTCATTTTTGTCTACTTTAAGTATTACATTTTGTACATCACTATAGATAAATAAGAAAACTGAATATTTGTTACGTATAAAGCTAATTGAATTTGTGTATAATACCTGCTATTTTCTTTTAAATAAAGTTTAGAATTTTTAAACTCTAAATATTTTACAAATATCTCATTTGTCTTGAAATCAACAATTTTTTTATCTTTACACGTGTAAGGGCATTTAATTTCAAGTAAGCTTATTTTATTTCCTTTTTTGCATATACCATCAGGGCTTGCACAAATCCAGGGAGCTTCATTACAAATGATAACTCCTGCATCAATTATTCTAATATTTTTTTTAAGCGAAAACGAATTTTTTGCAATTTGCTCCAATTTAATTCCGTAATCAGTTGCAATTGTTCCTTTGAATGTATTATTTAAAAATCTAAAAGCCAATTTTTCAAAATTGTTTTTTCTTGTTTTTACAGAATGAGCCATAGAGCTGCTTAATCTGTATTGTTTGTAAATGAACCAGTCTGGACATGTGCTTTGTTTTCTTGTGAGAAATGCTATTTGAATAATTTTTTGAAGTGTGACAATCACATTATCGTTATAAATTTTTAACAATTTTTCTGAAATGTTAACATTTGTAAATGAATTAAGTTTTTTTAGTTTTATTTTTGTAGGAAGGTTTTCAACAATTTTATAACAATCATTCATACGTTTACTTTCAAATAATTGTGTAATTAAAGATTTTAAATATAATTCCTCACATTGTTCATGAACTGTGTCGATTAAATGAGATACTAGCACTTGGCATTGTGTTTCTTCATCGAATTTAGCTCTTAACATTGAAGAAAGAGCACAATTAATGTGTTTTACTTTTTGATATAATGAAAATGGTGCATTTGATGATAACGATGCTGGTATTTTTATTTTTTTTTTGGAGTTACACAATTACTAAGGCGACATCCACCTGATGTGTATATCTTCTTATGTNTTGAATCTTTAAACTGAATATAATATATTATTAAATTATCGATCTTTGTCGCTAGTGGCAGGTCAGTAACGAAATATAATCGTTAGAAGAGGATGACGGGAAGAGAAAGCAACATGGCGGTTGTTGTTTGGCGCGTATTTTACACTTGTGAAAGAAAACTTTAAAGTATTCTTCATTTCTTCGATATTCCGAGAAGCCGTTTAATATTTAAGTAAGTTTAAACTTTTTTACATCCATATTTAGTTTAAATTATTTAATATATGGTAATTGAACGAAGTATAAGGGTACGATTATGCACACCCGAATGGTTAACATCTAGCGGTTAAATACGTATACTGTCATTGCGGCTCATCTCTGATTCCAGCAAACAGTGGGGACGCACGTTCTAACCTAACCTAACCTATTCTAATAATTTGATTGGTAATAATTATGGTAATTTATTAGAATAGGTTAGGTTAGGTCAGAACGTGCGTCCCCACTGTTTGCTTTTGTTTGGTGGAATCNGACTTGATGTTTTTAATGCCTTTCAAAATATCGAAAGACCGCCAATAGTCTTTAACTGTTTTGTCTGAAGTGTCTAAAACTCTCATCATTTCCATGAATGTATTACGGAGATAATAAGCTTGGAGGTTGCAATAACCCCCGACCCATTGGTTGCAAAAGAGATGTTGTATTGGGAAGCACGTAAACATCTTTGACATCCAATGGTGTTCTTATTTCATCAAGGTTTTGAGGATGTCCTGGAGCATTGTCCAGGAGAAGAAGTGCCTTGGGTGGTAATTTATTTTCACAAAAGCAAAGTACAGTAGGGCAAAAATAATTTGTGTACTAATCTGTGAAAACATCTTGTGTGACCCAAGCTTTCTTGTTCCATTTCCAATAAACTGGCAACATATCTTTATTTAGACCCTTTAAAGCATGTGGTGTCTGTGAATGATACACTAACATCGGTTTAAGTTTCAAAGTTCCTGAAACATTGGCTCCTAACAAAAGAGTTAATCTTTCACAACTTTAAAACCTCGAGCGGAACATTCTTCACGAGAAATAAAAGTTTGTACTGGTAACTTTTTCCAATAAAGCCCAGACTCATCAATGTTGAAGATAGGTCTGGAGAATAGTTGCCTTGTTCTACATAATCCTGAAAATCCTTAGGAAAAGCAGCCGCTGCCGCAACATGTGCATTTGCTGCTTCACCACATAATTTTACACTATGACAGTTACTTCAGGATTTAAATCATAAACCAACTCTTGCTTTCCAAAAAAGTTTCTTTGCCTCCATCTGTCTCCTTAAGATTATCAAAAATTGATTTTGCTTTTACAGTTATAGCAGCTTGAGTCAAGAGAATGTTTTTTTTTTATTTGCGTCATCCATCCATAACGATAACAATTTTTCCATTTTTTTGAAAAATTTTACCCCTACTGTAACTTACCTGTTTTACATTTACTGCCATAGACTGTTGATCGGAGTGTTTAATTTTATCTGCATTTTCCATAACAGTCAATGGAGGTAAGTTGAAAGATCTACAGACATTAGGGCTTGTTTGTCCATTTTCCATTTGTTGAATAACTTCTATTTTTGTTTCTAAGGAGATTGATTGCCTTACCTTCTTAACATGTTTAGTTAACTCTGATGCACTTCTTTTATCTGACATAATAACCCTCAAGTTGAAAATTGTGGAGTCAAGTTGAAAATTAATTGATGTCTAATAAATGGCATCCAAACCCAGAGTGCCTTTGCTTACTAATGTTCTTATCTCGTAAAAGTACGTTCAGTAAAACACTCTACGATGAGATGGCTCTTCTATGAAACATGACTTGTCGATGTTGAGACGAATCCACTCCTTGTCAGCCAAACGATGCCTTCTTAAGCCAGATGATATCCACTTTCCTTTGGCAAGATGAAACGATTTCTTCTTAGTGAGACCAAAGCAAACTCAAACTTTTCTGCCGAAACTGATCTATACAGTGGAACCCCAGTTAACGAACGTCCTGGTTAATGACCAAATCGGTTAACGACCTTTTATTTTGCAAAAATTTTGTCTCGGATAATGAACGTAACAGTATTTTGTGCCAAATTTTAGTTGGTGTTAGGCATGCGTGAGTTAAGCATTGCTTTTCCGAGTGTTTGTGCTATACTTCTTTTTTCAGTTTTGTGATTTATATATTTAATCAATATGGCATCCAAGAAAGAAAAAAGTCATAGTGGCAATATTAAATGACAACACAATATGAACTTAAATGCACTATCACATTTGAGAAAAATTTTGATTAAAAGAGTAAGACAATCAACTATAGATCAATATCTTGTTCCTTAGGGAAAGAGTTTGTTTGTTAAGTTTTGGCAACACAACACTTAGGCGATCTGTCTAGGGGGAATGCCTTCTGGGAGGTGTCTTTAAGGAAAACTGACCCCTATTTAGGTGTTACAGACGTGGAGAAAACCCGAAAAACTCCACATGGCTAGCCTGTTTAAGGAAAATTTGCATTTGGGTGCCATTTTTCTATAATTAGAAAAAAGAGAAATGTTACATTTTAAAAATAAATTATGGCTCTATATACAAAAGTTTTCTGATGATAATATTTATAAATATGAAACTGGTATCTTAAGTCTAATATTTAATAAAATACTGTATGCAATTAAATCAAAATTAATGAAAAATTTATTGCATAGTCCTTACATATTTATATGTGATTTTTGGTTTGATGAAAAAGTTTTTACCTGAAAATGTACAGAAATTTTCATCATTTTGAAATAACTTGTTACAGGGGAATAGTATTATAATTGTCTCAAGTGGTGAGCCAATATACATTCTTGTAGTCCAATATATTAGTCCAAAGGGGCCTTCTTGGCCAGGACTGAAGGGCAGTATTGGGGGTCATTCTGTAAGCTCTTGTAATATGAAGAAGGGCCCTTCTTTGGGAGGCAATGAGCTTTCTTTTGATATGGACCTAGCAGACAGCCGGTCCCCAGCTGCCGCAAGTGTAGGTGATTATAGGAAAGAATATCTGATTGTAAATAGCCTCCATTGCCTCAGAGGCTAGACCCCATCTTCTTGCAAAGCCCGCAAATGCATTAAAGATCTGGCCTATTTGATCCGTTATATATTCTGTGTGGGCAGTCCATAGTAGCCTATGGTCAAGCATCACACGGTTACTGTCTAAACTGTGACAAGCGAGAAACGCCATCTCTGCAATAAAATTTTTTCTGAACTGCAATCTAGACGATCTCTAAATTATTGTCGCCGTGTAAATGTTGTCTCTGCAATCGGCTGAAATGGTCTGCATTTTTATGTTCACAAAATTGCTTGAAGACACACTCATATTTGGTGTTAACTTTGATAGCATTGATACATTTTATAACTGATATCAGTACTGCATTAAGAACAAGAGAGATATTTTTGGATGCTAAGTTCTCTCTATGAATAACAGTGCACAAGAAGCATTTCTGGATTATCAACTTTCATCAATTTTAAAGATCCATTTTTCTTGCCCATTATAACAGGAGCACTATCAGCAACACAAGATGTCTTCCATTGATATATTATTGACATTAAGCAATTTTTTTAGCTTATTGTATATATATATCAGTGGCAGTAGTAGTGCTTTAATGATTTGCAGAATAACATTTCTTCAGCAAATTACTTTTATCAATACATCTTACTTATCCTCCTCAGACCCAAGAATTAAATAATGTTATTTTTAATCAATTTATTTTAAAATTACAATATTTGTATTATAAAAAGTCCATTTATGAATTCAACATCAACCNACGCCTAATGAACAGAAGGAACATTTTATTTGAAGAAGAAGCAGAAAGACACTTTGATGTAGCAATTGAAGACAATTTTTTAGACCCTAAAGAAAAAAAAAATGTGACTTTGGAATTCAAACAGAGACTACAAACGAATAGTTTGGAGATGTAAGAATTTTTATTTGCATGACTAGTAACAATGTTTCTGAAACTCAAGTTTCTCATGTTAAAATGATTTCAAAAAATATGGAGAAAATCATAGGTCATGTCATTTTAGTGGTGTAGCAAATTTTGATGACGATCAATCTTTAAAAGATCTAACATCAGTAGGATTCGATGTTTTCAATTTATTTTTAGACATGCTTCCAAACAGTCTGTTAGAGTTTATGAATTGTCTTGGGAAAATAAGTTACATATAAGTTAAGTTACATTAAGTTACTATAAATCTGCTTATAATATAAAATATTTAATTGGAATTGCTCCATCAGGACTTATAACTTTTCTTTCTAGTGGGTGCAGATTCGTTTATAACAAATGATTGTTATAAACGAATCTGTAACGAATGCAAAAACTGGAGAAGGGAGATATTGTTATAGCTGATAGAGGGTTTCCTGAAATTAAATTGGCTGTCGAAAATAAAAATTCTATTTTAATTATGCCTCCTTTTTTCAAAACCAAATCAAAAGCAGTTTAGTGGTAATGAAATGGACTAAACATACAAAATTGCTCGTGTAAGAATTCACATTGAGAGAGCCATTGGTAGAATTAAAATTTTTGAAATATTGAACTGTAGATTACCCATTTCACTTCTTCCATATGTAGATGATAAAATGTTTGTTTGTGTAGTATTAGTAAATCTGCAGCCACCAATTATAAACGAATGAAATTTTTTTATTGTGAAAACACTATAAAACTTAATACTATTTACACTTAATACTTAAATACTATTTACAATTGCAGGTAAATAATAATTAAAGTAGAACATTTCCATCTTCTCTAATAGTGAATAAATGAATGTCTCATTTTTGTCTACTTTAAGTATTACATTTTGTACATCACTATAGATAAATAAATAAGAAAACTGAATATTTGTTACGTATAAAGTCTTAACATCTATGTGAGGATAACATAGACCTCCCCTATCAGTTGCTTTGATTAACCTTTCTGCAGCTTTGTTTTCTTTGCTATCATCATCATCATCAATTTGTGAACATAAAAACTCTTGACAATAGAGTCCGACTGCAAGTTACTCGCGCGCCACCCTGGTGGCAAATATTTACATAACATATAGGAGTTCTCTAAAGAATGCATATGAGTTGTATCTGAGACATTACGATACCTAAACGATACCCAGTACAGTAAATCGCTTATTGTTAATTTTTTTTGAATTATAATATTAAACATGGGTAAATCAAATGTAAATTGTTCTGTGTTTGGATGTTCTAATACACTAGCAAACACTCAACATGTAACGCCGAAAGTTTCATTTTATGGTTTTCAGGCACGTCCACACCTTAAACAGAGGCGCCAAATTTGGATAAATTTTGCTAAAAGACAAAAATAAGAAATACAAAATTTATTGTTAATTTTTAAAAAATTGACACGAATAATTTTCTAAAAATATCCTTGTAAATTTAGTAAAAACGGATCACAGTGGCTACCCTCTAAATCAGCACGGATATGTAGTATGCATTTTATAGATGGGGGAAAAAAGTGAAGATCCAAGATGTCCAATTTATAATTCAACAATCTATCCTGAAAAAAGAAGCAATGAAGAAAATTATCGACATGAACAGTCAATGAAGAGATATAAACGCCTAATGAACAGAAGGAACATTTTATTTGAAGAAGAAGCAGAAAGACACTTTGATGTAGCAATTGAAGACAATTTTTTAGACCCTAAAAAAAAAAAAACGTGACTTTGGAATTCAAACAGAGACTACAAACGAATAGTTTGGAGATGTAAGAATTTTTATTTGCATGACTAGTAACAATGTTTCTGAAACTCAAGTTTCCCATGTTAAAATGATTTCAAAAAATATGGAGAAAATCATAGGTCATGTCATTTTAGTGGTGTAGCAAATTTTGATGATGATCAATCTTTAAAAGATCTGACATCAGTAGGATTCGATGTTTTGAATTTATTTTTAGACATGCTTCCAAACAGTCCTGTTAGAGTTTATGAATTGTCTTGGGAAAATAAGTTACATATAAGTTAAGTTACATTAAGTTACTATAAATCTGCTTATACTATAAAATATTTAATTGGAATTGCTCCATCAGGACTTATAACTTTTCTTTCTAGTGGGTACAGATTCGTTTATAACAAATGATTGTTATAAACGAATCTGTAACGAATGCAAAAACTGGAGAAGGGAGATATTGTTATAGCTGATAGAGGGTTTCCTGAAATTAAATTGGCTGTCGAAAATAAAAATTCTATTTTAATTATGCCTCCTTTTTCAAAACCAAATCAAAAGCAGTTTAGTGGTAATGAAATGGACGAAACATACAAAATTGCTCGTGTAAGAATTCACGTTGAGAGAGCCATTGGTAGAATTAAAATTTTTGAAATATTGAACCGTAGATTACCCATTTCACTTCTTCCATATGTAGATAAAATAATGTTTGTTTGTGTAGTATTAGTAAATCTGCAGCCACCAATTATAAATGAGTGAAATTTTTTTATTGTGAAAACACTATAAAACTTAATACTATTTACACTTAATACTTAAATACTATTTACAATTGCAGGTAAATAATAATTAAAGTAGAACATTTGCATCTTCTCTAATAGTGAATAAATGAATGTCTCATTTTTTTTCACTTTAAGTATTACATTTTGTACATCACTATAGATAAATAAATAAGAAAATTTAATATTTGTTACATATAAAGCTAATTGAATTTGTGTATAATACCTGCTATTTTCTTTTAAATAAAGTTTAGAATTTTTAAACTCTAAATATTTTACAAATATCTCATTTGTCTTGAAATCAACAATTTTTTTATCCTTACACGTGTAAGGGCATTTAATTTCAAGTAAGCTTATTTTATTTCCTTTTTTACATATACCATCAGGGCTTGCACAAATCCAGGGAGCTTCATTACAAATGATAACTCCTGCATCAATTATTCTAATATTTTTTTTAAGCGAAAACGAATTTTTTGCAATTTGCTCCATTTTAATTCCGTAATCAGTTGCAATTGTTCCTTTAAATGTATTATTTAAAAATCTAAAAGCCAATTTTTCAAAATTGTTTTTTCTTGTTTTTACAGAATGAGCCATAGAGCTGCTTAATCTGTATCGTTTGTAAATGAACCAGTCTGAACATGTGCTTTGTTTTCTCGTGAGAAATGCTATTTGAATAATTTTTTGAAGTGTGACAATCACATTATCGTTATAAAATTTTAACAATTTTTGTGAAATGTTAACATTTGTAAATGAATTAAGTTTCTTTAGTTTTATTTTTGTAGGAAGGTTTTCAACAATTTTATAACAATCTATATGTTTACTTTCAAATAATTGTGTAATTAAAGATTTTAAATCTAATTCCTCACATTGTTCATGAACTGTGTCGATTAAATCAGATAGTAGCACTTGACACTGTGTTTCTTCATCAAATTCAACTCTTAACATTGAAGAAAGAGCACAATTAATGTGTTTTACTTTTTGATATAACGAAAATGGTTCATTTGATGATAATGATGTTGGTATTTTTATTTTTTTTGGAGTTACACAATTACTAAGGCAACATCCACCTGATGTGTATATCTTCTTATGTTGTGGAATTCCCCATTGTTGTTTTCCACTGGTAACGCTTTCGTCTTTATAATTATTTAAAGCAAAAATCGTAGCTGCTACATGTTTGCACTGACCGTGGATACCTGCCTTGCACTTACACGTTGCTGTAATTATTTTTCTATCTGCTGATAACTGAAAATTAATTTGTATTAAAAATAATTCATAAAGCATGATATGAAATATTTTTATTAAAGAAAAATTCAACAGTATATAGCTTAATAAAAGCAGTGATATACAATGTTGTTTTGTTGTCATGCAAATCATCCTGTTTGTTCATTGCAGAGATGTTATGCTGACATATAAAATTATTTAAATGTAAAAAATACCTTAATACAAATATAATATGGTTTCTCATTAATTTTCATTTGGGGTAGGCAAGTAGCTGTAACTGTACTTTATCCATCATTTTTTATTTTTTTGATTGCAGCTATATGCTTAGCCTTTGCGAGTAAAATTCTTTTTTTCCATCTCGAAGGTGTAAAAAAGTTGTCATTATGGACTGGTTGAAAGCCACATGTTACAATTATATCAGGCATTATTGACTAAAAGAGAAAAATTACATTCCAGTTAATAAAAGTTCCGTTTTTTAATTGTACATTTTATTAAAACATTTAAAATTTATAAAAATTTTGAATTTAAACTTACCAATTACTTGATTTTCTGTAGCAAGAAACTTTTTCTCTGTTAACGGTTCAAATGGAGAAGAAACCCTTCGGATTTGTCTCCTATATGTTATGTAAATATTTGCCACCAGGCGGCGCGCGAGTAACTTGCACTCGGACTCTATAATCACATTTAAATTTTTTAATCATTGTATAGCTATTTAAGTTAATAATGGCCACACCTGAGTCTTGAATATTATCTATGTCATCATCATCAACATGACAGTTGCTTATTAAACTTTGTGGCAAAACACAGTCATAATCTTTTGCTGCATGCTTTATAAAATGTCTCATTTCAGGAACAGCACTTAATGGAAGAGAAACCTCACCAAAAGTATGTGATTTCAAAATTAGAGGCACTGTTGTTTGAATACGCAGCTTGGTTTCACATTCATACAGTTGGCGGATAGAAATATGATAATGAGATCCAGCAAGTTGACGATACCTGCCAAATCTATTTTCTAAATTATCTGTCTGCAACTTGCCACAAAGGAAGTAGCTGTTCCTTTTATTATAAATCCAGAATTGTGCTATCTGAAGCAATGCATGAGTACAGGTAGCCCTTGGTTTATGCTGCAGTTCTGTTCCTATAAAAGCTGGTGCAAATTGAATTGGTATAAAATGAACCTATATTTACAGTGACATTTAGGGTTAGGTTCTACATAAGTGAAAAATAAGCAAATAATTTTGTTTATTAATACAAAATACATATAAATTTAATTTTTAAAATGTATTTTATCATAAAGTGAAATGTGTTTATTAAAAAATTTTATTATAGTTTTGGATCTCTTACATTTTTCGAAAAAAATATCCATCTTTAATTGTTTACATTTTTGTTTTCTTTCATTAAGAATTTCGGAATATGGTCAAATGGATGTGATGATGCTCCTTTTTACATTTGTACTTTGCTCCCAATCATTGTCAAACTCACAAAGTTCATTCGTCAAACTTTCCATAGTTGAAAGGATACACTTTAGATTGGCTGTTTTTATAACTCTTGGAGTTTCTTCTTCGTTTTCTTCCTTCTCTGACTGTTCACAATCTAATTCTCTGTATAATTCTTCTAAGTCTTCATTCGAGAGTGGCTGATCATAAACTTCTAAAAGTTCTGTAACATCTTCCAATCCCACATCACATGCAAGTTTGGTAATGTCTTCAATTAAATTCTCCTGATGTGCTACTTCTTCAAAATTGTGCATGAATGCTGGTAGTTTATGCCAAACTCCATTTAAGCATTTTGATGAAACTTCATCCCAAGCCGACTTGATGTTTTTAATGCCTTTCAAAATATCGAAAGACCGCCAATAGTCTTTAACTGTTTTGTCTGAAGTGTCTAAAACTCTCATCATTTCCATGAATGTATTACGGAGATAATAAGCTTGGAGGTTGCAATAACCCCCGACCCATTGGTTGCAAAAGAGATGTTGTATTGGGAAGCACGTAAACATCTTTGACATCCAATGGTGTTCTTATTTCATCAAGGTTTTGAGGATGTCCTGGAGCATTGTCCAGGAGAAGAAGTGCCTTGGGTGGTAATTTATTTTCACAAAAGCAAAGTACAGTAGGGCAAAAATAATTTGTGTACTAATCTGTGAAAACATCTTGTGTGACCCAAGCTTTCTTGTTCCATTTCCAATAAACTGGCAACATATCTTTATTTAGACCCTTTAAAGCATGTGGTGTCTGTGAATGATACACTAACATCGGTTTAAGTTTCAAAGTTCCTGAAACATTGGCTCCTAACAAAAGAGTTAATCTTTCACAACTTTAAAACCTCGAGCGGAACATTCTTCACGAGAAATAAAAGTTTGTACTGGTAACTTTTTCCAATAAAGCCCAGACTCATCAATGTTGAAGATAGGTCTGGAGAATAGTTGCCTTGTTCTACATAATCCTGAAAATCCTTAGGAAAAGCAGCCGCTGCCGCAACATGTGCATTTGCTGCTTCACCACATAATTTTACACTATGACAGTTACTTCAGGATTTAAATCATAAACCAACTCTTGCTTTCCAAAAAAGTTTCTTTGCCTCCATCTGTCTCCTTAAGATTATCAAAAATTGATTTTGCTTTTACAGTTATAGCAGCTTGAGTCAAGAGAATGTTTTTTTTTTATTTGCGTCATCCATCCATAACGATAACAATTTTTCCATTTTTTTGAAAAATTTTACCCCTACTGTAACTTACCTGTTTTACATTTACTGCCATAGACTGTTGATCGGAGTGTTTAATTTTATCTGCATTTTCCATAACAGTCAATGGAGGTAAGTTGAAAGATCTACAGACATTAGGGCTTGTTTGTCCATTTTCCATTTGTTGAATAACTTCTATTTTTGTTTCTAAGGAGATTGATTGCCTTACCTTCTTAACATGTTTAGTTAACTCTGATGCACTTCTTTTATCTGACATAATAACCCTCAAGTTGAAAATTGTGGAGTCAAGTTGAAAATTAATTGATGTCTAATAAATGGCATCCAAACCCAGAGTGCCTTTGCTTACTAATGTTCTTATCTCGTAAAAGTACGTTCAGTAAAACACTCTACGATGAGATGGCTCTTCTATGAAACATGACTTGTCGATGTTGAGACGAATCCACTCCTTGTCAGCCAAACGATGCCTTCTTAAGCCAGATGATATCCACTTTCCTTTGGCAAGATGAAACGATTTCTTCTTAGTGAGACCAAAGCAAACTCAAACTTTTCTGCCGAAACTGATCTATACAGTGGAACCCCAGTTAACGAACGTCCTGGTTAATGACCAAATCGGTTAACGACCTTTTATTTTGCAAAAATTTTGTCTCGGATAATGAACGTAACAGTATTTTGTGCCAAATTTTAGTTGGTGTTAGGCATGCGTGAGTTAAGCATTGCTTTTCCGAGTGTTTGTGCTATACTTCTTTTTTCAGTTTTGTGATTTATATATTTAATCAATATGGCATCCAAGAAAGAAAAAAGTCATAGTGGCAATATTAAATGACAACACAATATGAACTTAAATGCACTATCACATTTGAGAAAAATTTTGATTAAAAGAGTAAGACAATCAACTATAGATCAATATCTTGTTCCTTAGGGAAAGAGTTTGTTTGTTAAGTTTTGGCAACACAACACTTAGGCGATCTGTCTAGGGGGAATGCCTTCTGGGAGGTGTCTTTAAGGAAAACTGACCCCTATTTAGGTGTTACAGACGTGGAGAAAACCCGAAAAACTCCACATGGCTAGCCTGTTTAAGGAAAATTTGCATTTGGGTGCCATTTTTCTATAATTAGAAAAAAGAGAAATGTTACATTTTAAAAATAAATTATGGCTCTATATACAAAAGTTTTCTGATGATAATATTTATAAATATGAAACTGGTATCTTAAGTCTAATATTTAATAAAATACTGTATGCAATTAAATCAAAATTAATGAAAAATTTATTGCATAGTCCTTACATATTTATATGTGATTTTTGGTTTGATGAAAAAGTTTTTACCTGAAAATGTACAGAAATTTTCATCATTTTGAAATAACTTGTTACAGGGGAATAGTATTATAATTGTCTCAAGTGGTGAGCCAATATACATTCTTGTAGTCCAATATATTAGTCCAAAGGGGCCTTCTTGGCCAGGACTGAAGGGCAGTATTGGGGGTCATTCTGTAAGCTCTTGTAATATGAAGAAGGGCCCTTCTTTGGGAGGCAATGAGCTTTCTTTTGATATGGACCTAGCAGACAGCCGGTCCCCAGCTGCCGCAAGTGTAGGTGATTATAGGAAAGAATATCTGATTGTAAATAGCCTCCATTGCCTCAGAGGCTAGACCCCATCTTCTTGCAAAGCCCGCAAATGCATTAAAGATCTGGCCTATTTGATCCGTTATATATTCTGTGTGGGCAGTCCATAGTAGCCTATGGTCAAGCATCACACGGTTACTGTCTAAACTGTGACAAGCGAGAAACGCCATCTCTGCAATAAAATTTTTTCTGAACTGCAATCTAGACGATCTCTAAATTATTGTCGCCGTGTAAATGTTGTCTCTGCAATCGGCTGAAATGGTCTGCATTTTTATGTTCACAAAATTGCTTGAAGACACACTCATATTTGGTGTTAACTTTGATAGCATTGATACATTTTATAACTGATATCAGTACTGCATTAAGAACAAGAGAGATATTTTTGGATGCTAAGTTCTCTCTATGAATAACAGTGCACAAGAAGCATTTCTGGATTATCAACTTTCATCAATTTTAAAGATCCATTTTTCTTGCCCATTATAACAGGAGCACTATCAGCAACACAAGATGTCTTCCATTGATATATTATTGACATTAAGCAATTTTTTTAGCTTATTGTATATATATATCAGTGGCAGTAGTAGTGCTTTAATGATTTGCAGAATAACATTTCTTCAGCAAATTACTTTTATCAATACATCTTACTTATCCTCCTCAGACCCAAGAATTAAATAATGTTATTTTTAATCAATTTATTTTAAAATTACAATATTTGTATTATAAAAAGTCCATTTATGAATTCAACATCAACCTTTGACCCTTAGTGTTTTTTATGGGGCACGTCCATTAAAATGGATCTTCGGGACTTAATTAACCATATTATAGCAATTTGAAACTTAAAATTTTTATTGAATTTACTTGTTTTAAAAAATTGAAAGAAAATATCAAGTAAATAAAAATAAATTGTATAGTTCAAGGATGCTTTTATTTCTTATGAAAAGCCAA